TGGAAGGAGGAATGTAAGTTTGGAGCGTCCTTTAGCGGGCCCCCTGCCAGGAGAGGGCATTGAATGGACTCGCATGCCCTGGTAAGTCTGGAGGTTTTCAGTATTGTCCTGTTGCTGTGTTCGAAGGAAAACAAACAGCTCTATTGGCCAATACAGCACAAACAATTACAACAGTGCTTTTCCTTTCTGACAGATGTACATCAGCTGCAAAACATATGACATCATTTTTGCTTATTCCCTTATTGGTCCTCTGCCACATTCAAAACTTCTGATCTTTTTTTTGAAGTGAAGCTCCTGACTCCCCCCAGCTACATGCACAAGGTCTTTCTTTCAGCTTGCTTTGGTGGACAGACTAGAGAAGAGGAAGTGAACTTCGTGTCCTTTCGAGAGATGTTGGCTGATTTTTTTTTTAATATAATTGTGTTGTTTCAGGAGAAGCAACAGAAGATGAGCTGTTAAGTAGACTTCAGCAACTCAAAGATGGTCCTGAGCAGCAGAACAACACCCCCACCCCTGAAAATGGAGAAGATCCAGTTGGTAAGTGTGTATTATTTCAGATTGTACTGACAAATTCAGTTATGGTTTGTCACTTGTTAATGATTCTTTCTTTTGCTTATTTTAGAACCACCAGAGAACTCTGAGGATCCTGCCAGTGGGGATAGCCTCTTGGACTGGCTGAACACCGTAAGGCGCACCGGCAACACAACAAGAACTGGACATCGTGGAAACCAGTCATGGCGGGCCGTCAGCCAAACAAACCCAAACAGTGGCGATTTCCGCTTCAGCCTGGAGATAAGTGTGAACCGCAACCTGGCTGAACAGCAGGCAGCCGCCGAGGGGGAGCAGGAGTCTCCTGAGGAGTCTCAAGAAGAGTCTCCAGAGGTCCCTCAAGAGGAATCTCCAGAGGTGTCCCTAGAGGAGACACCAGAGGTCCAAGAAGTTGTGGCAAACGCTGAACCCCAAGTCGTCCCCATGGAGACCGAAGTGGTGGAAGAACCAGTTGTTGAGGAGTTGGCTGTTGTAGTAGAACCAGAGCCTGAACTAGAAGAGATTGTTTCACAAGAGGTTTTAGCAGATCCTCCCAGCTCACCTGCTGCAGCTTCCTTGCCAGAACAACCGGCACTTTCCCCTTCTCCACGCAGAGGACAAAGGAGACCCCGCAGCCGCAGTCCAGAGCCACGCAGGACTAGGGCCCGTACAGCAAGGAGCCGCTCCCCTCTTAACTTGGATCAGATGGATGGTCTCCCTAATCCTCGTAATATTCAAAGCTCTCAAGGCCAGGACGCCTTACCCATTAACCTCCCTGTCCCTCAAGTGGAGGGCAGTTCTCGGACTCGACAACATGTGCCCGCCAGGCAAAGCACTGTAGATAGTGATGTTCAGCCATCTAGGGCTAGCCCAGAAACTGTCTTGGAGACACAAAATGTCACATCTCAGGAAGGAGACGCCGCTGGGGGGGAAGGGGGTGTAGCTGGGCGTCGTCCCCCTACTATTATGCTTGACCTCCAGGTGCGTCGTGTGCGTCCAGGCGAGTATCGCCAGAGAGACAGCATTGCCAGTCGTACCCGCTCACGTTCCCAGAACTCTAACAACACATTTCTTTATGAAAGTGAGCGTGGTGGATTTCGTAGGACTTTCTCCCGCTCTGAGCGTGCTGGTGTGCGGACCTATGTCAGCACAATTCGCATCCCTATCAGAAGAATCTCTGATGCAGGTTTGGGAGAGGCAACCTCAATGGCTCTCCAGTCTATGATTCGGCAGATTATGACTGGTTTTGGTGAACTCGGCTACCTCATGGATTCAGACTCTGATTCTTCAGATTCAAATCGAGGAGTAAACACACCGGCTGATCTGGCTGAAGCTGTCAGTAACCCAGAAGTTGCTCCTGCTGCTGATGTTGATGAACCCCCTGTGGCTGCTGGAGTCAGAGCAAGGACAGCTGAGCCAGATGTGGATGAGAGTCTTGCCACCGGTCCACCTGCCTCTAGTGGCAGAGCTCGACCAAGACCACCTAATAGCCTAGAAGAGCCCAGCTCATTACCATTCCTGCGACTCGCCCACTTCTTCCTCTTAAATGATGATGATGAGGACCAGCCCCAAGGGCTGACCAAAGAGCAGATTGACAACCTCTCCATGCGCAATTTTGGTGAGAGCGATGCCTTGAAGACTTGCAGTGTCTGCATAACAGAGTATGCAGAAGGTAACAAGCTACGCAAGCTTCCCTGCTCTCATGAGTACCATGTGCACTGCATTGATCGTTGGCTGTCAGAAAACTCCACTTGCCCAATCTGCCGCAGGGCAGTCCTAGTTTCAGCCAACCGAGAGAGCGTGGTGTAGCTCATATAAGACTGCAGGCCTTTTGTCACAACCTAAGTAATGTAGTATCCCAAGTGTATAGCAGGGGTTTGAGAAAAAAATGATCTCCACTGTTCACCCTTCATACCATTTGTGAGTTTTATTATAATGAAGTCACAGGATTGATTTTGGGGTGCTCCAAACAGTTTCATAAGGACATTATCAATCTCTAACAATACATTTATTATTGCAGTACATAGTAAGACACAAGCATGCATACTGTTTGAATCAACTCATAGTGACCAAGCAGTTTGAGGCATTGTGTTTAATTATACTCTGTTAGACCGGTAACTCTTTTAAAATCCCCCAGATTAGAAATGCTGCACACCTTCAGGTAGTTCTGGCACATGTGCTTTTTGGTATTGGCTCCCTAAATGGAGTCTGATATACCAGAAGTTGGGCATTGGTACAGTTCTTAGTAACACCAGTATTAGCTGTAAATAAGCTTGTAAAAATAATTTTGATTCACAGTCTGTATCATTAAACTGGTTTGGGATTGTAAATTATGTCATATGAAGATAGAATAGTGTTGGAAATTACTGTCCGTCAGAGCATCCCAAAATTTGGTGTTAGATAAGTTGTATCGGTTTACACACCGCAATAATTGATTGATTCTGATGTCCAAAGGATGTAGAACTCAAAAAGGCTCGGCATTTACATTGTGACTAAAAGAAACTGATATTTTGGTGTGGCATATTCCATGAGCTCTGAGTTTTTGTTTGAAATAAAATGTACAGGTATACTGGAAAGATGAATCCCACTAGGGAACTTTTGCAAAATGAAAATTTGTTTTAGAATCATATAACAGCTCTTTTTCTTGATAAATGAAATATGATTTAGTATTAATACCAGGAATTAGGGATATCTCTATAATGGTTGCAGACATTGGATTTATAACAGGTCCTTGGCATGTGAATTTTCCCACCTGAAAAAGACTATACTAACAGGCATGAATTCAGAAATTTGAAAACAGTTGTTTTTGCTTTTCCCACTTGTAAAAGAACATTTACTTTTTCATGTAAAACAATGAGCTCACAATCACTTTGTCTTTTAATCTATTTGTACTGCTTCTTTGTTTTACTAGGTACATATTGGTTCTCTTATATAACTGATTTATGAATTCAGTTCCCTAAGCTTGTAATGCAGAGAGTAAAATGACCCTTTGTGACCTAAAATGAAATGTTGACTTGCTTCTCAAGAATTCTCTTGTCGGCCCACCCTAATGGACAAATGACAACTTAAGTTATCAACCCAGAGTTCCAGGTGTCAGACATTTACCAAATTTCACGCCATCCTCCCGTCATAGAACGGCTCGAGTGGGAAGTTAAGATGCTCGCCTTTTGTAACCCCCCCCCCTCCTGCCTCGAGCAGATGCTCCATATCAGTGTGCAATACATGCTAAGTGAAACTAGGGAAATACAAAACAAGATATAAATATATGTTATTGTTAAAACTGTTCTTAAAGACTCAAATCTTAAAATGAAGATGTATTACCTTTTTAAAATATGTTTAAGTTTATTTTATTTAGAAGTTCTGTAGGTTTTAATAGCACTGTTGATGAACAGGAACACTGGCTGAAGGACGAAAGGGCATCACTACCAATGCCCTCCTGTCATGTTTCTTATCACTGTCTGATGTCTTTGCCACAATTATGACCTCCCTTTGTGGGACATAACAGTTTGAATGCAAGACATTATCATTGTTGAATACCATAATAAACATGTATATGAAATGTATGTTCCCTTTAAGGCCATGCTTAAGTCTCGGCCTTCTTCTGTGACCCACCCAGTGCAGTATGTTAACTGGGTGTTAAATGAAACTAACCGCTGAATTAAACAAGTTGTTGTGCTTCAAAATGCAGATATGTATTCTGTACAGTCACTGTGCTGTTGGGTTATTTTTTCTACATCCAGGTGCACACATAACGAATTATTACTTCTATCTTATATATTAAAATAGTATTATTATGCCTTTATCCCAAGTTTGCGTTGATCTGACTGTTTATTGATTTTTTTTTTCTGTCCACATAATGACGTATTCAAATGTTTTACGTATAACAAAGTCTTATTTAAGTGCATGATGACCTGATGGTGTGAAATGCAAGCTCAGGTGGTTTCCCTTTCAATCAGTGATGATGCTAATAAACATCCCACCCATATAGTTTTATAAGATATCACGTTATTATACATAACATGTACTTCATTTATGATGATGAATTGGTAGCACCCCTGCTGGTAAGAAATAGACATATTGATTCCCAGTGATCAGATAAATAACCTCTATTATTATTTACCCACCATAGACATGTTCTTGTGCTGGAACAAAAAATAAAGACACTGTTTTAATACACGTCACCATCCACTAGCTAGTTCTTAAATGCATAAACCATGTGTTTCCTTCTTGTCTTACACATTGCAGTGTATTACATAAAAAGGGAATAACAAGTTAATGAACCACGGACTAGTATCCAAACACACAGGCAGTAGCGGTGTATTGGATTTTATTTACGCCCAAGCAAGTCGGGGATTATTTCATGTTCACCAAAGTTTAATGTAATATGTAATGTATCCTTCTGTGCCACCTTGATCTTTGTTTGATGTACATGCCTGTGTGCATGTGTATAGTATTGCAGTGAGGTCTGTTCAAAGGCTACGGAGCTGGACAAACAAGGAAGTGCCGACGTGACAGACGACGGTGAGGATGGCGCTGCGTGCAGTTGGGACTCGTTTGCGGCAGGTTCACGTTAACCGCTTCAAGGTAAAGTCAGTCTATATATAAGTAACTTAAATGTCTGAAGCCTTTAGAGTCAGCGTTTCTTTCAGAATAACTTAAGAGTTACCTCGAGTAAAGACGTACTGTTACAATCACTTCCAACACGGCCTAGTGTCAGATCTAACAGGCTAAAAGTACAGCAGAAACACCGAAGGAAATACGCCAGCTCGTTGCTCGGCTACAATAAAAGTTTTACTTGCGGCACAATTTCAAGAGTTTCACCTTTTTAAGGCTCTCATGCCAACTTTTCAACACATGGTGGCGCTGTTGACTCTGAATGAAATTACAATGTCTGCGGTACATGTCGCTGTCAGCAGGTTTCAGGCTGTTATTTTTTATTACTACAATGTATTTGTCTTTTCATTTGTAGGTTGTCTCCATCCAAACACTTGTGGATGTGAAATTGAAAAGAACCTGTCCGGTTGAAATAAGTCACCTGGACCACTTGGTTCTGACTGTGAAAAGTGTGCCAGACACGGTCAACTTTTATACCTCTGTCCTTGGCATGGAGGTCATCACTTTCAAGGTATGCAAGGTGCATTGTACATTATATTAATAATAATAGGCTAATTATTATTATTATTAAAAGGCTATTATTATTGTTGTTGTTGTTTTTGTTAAAAGTATAAAGGCTAGATTTAGTGCTAATAATAATCACTTTGTTTACTACTTATAGTTTGTTAAATATTTGTATTACCCATTTATGTTATATTATTTTCAAAGGGCCCAGGAGTAATTGAATACTGCGGTGCCTTTAGTTACAGAGACCATCCACTAGATGGCAGGCTTTCATTGTATATCAGATGATCGCACCACATGTGGAAGCTTTTAGTCACATTTTAACACCCACACATGCTCTCTCTGCATTCTCCAGGGAAACCGTAAGGCTTTGGGTTTTGGGCAGCAGAAGTTTAACCTTCATCAGCTGGGTCAGGAGTTTGAACCAAAAGCCAAGTATCCAACCTCAGGCTCTGCAGACCTTTGCCTCATCACCAAAACCCCTTTGGCTACAGTAGCTGAACATCTGAAGGTCCTTTACCCACTTCCTACACCTATTTTGTCTTTAATTTCAATGTCAGTTCAAAACTTGTAAGGCACTGATCTTTAAAGAACCTATTGACCTCTATGAACTCTGTATGTCTCATTTTGTTGCCAGAGCAATGCTGAGTGTGGGTTTTTGTCATCTGGGCTCCTCTGCAGGTCTGTGGAGTCGAAATAGAGGAGGGTCCAGTGGAAAGGACCGGGGCTGTGGGAACCATCACCTCTTTATACTTAAGAGATCCAGACCACAATCTCATTGAAGTGTCAAACTATACCAATTCATCATCAGACTGATCTTATCAAGACTTCTTTAGCCTTGTTTTTGGCAACAGTTGCTCTTGTTTTGTCCGGTGGTCCCATTCCACAATGTAATAATGTGTTCAGACCATATTAACTGTAAGCACTCGCATTATTTTCATCCTGGGACTGATAACATCAGTTGGCTGGACAGAGAAGCTCTTTCTGTGCAGTTTTGCTGACCAGTGGTTGCTATTTCAGTAATGCATGAACAGGCTTTTGTAGCACCCTACATTCAGGATGGAACGTGAAAAATACACACTTTAAGATGTCAAGCCAACTTCATAGTTACTAGTGAAGTACCTTGTCTTTTGTTTTTTTAAGGTAAACTGAACACTTACACAATCAGTGTTTATTAAGTCTCTATTTTATGAATAAAGACTTTCAATAACTCTAGAGTATTTTATTTAATGCCTTCATTTATTTGTATTATTGCCTAAGCTGTTATTTGTTAAAGTTTCTTTTAGCTCCATGGAAGTTATTTTATAGAATATTAGGCTAACACCCATAGATAATAAAATTATATTTTTCCTTTCCTATTTATAATATAATTCCTCTCCAGACACACCTTTTCCACATTGAGGTAATTGTTTTGTACAATATGCTGTATACAGCACACAGAAGCAAGTCAGATGAGACTTAATCTGTACTTCCATCACTAAATGCAAGGAAATACAACTCAACTCTCTAATGTGATTCGATCAAACATTCCTGTATTTAGTTCTACCTTCACAAATGGTACGTTTAGTTCTGATTGACACTCTCAAAGCATTATTAATTTAACTTTTTTTAAGACAGTTTTTTAGCAGACTGAGAGGAAGTTTGAAATGTTGTCAATCACATTTACAAACATGAGAGTTGTAGAATATAACAAAGACTTTTAAAACTATCTCATGAACAAATAGAAGTACTCATTTCTGACCGTGCTGTAAAACAAAAACAAAAAAACAATCATATGTGAAGCTGAATTCATGGGAGATGTTTGTATTGGATCACTTTAGATTTTGGTGTTTTGTTTGTCATGATTTTGAAGGAGTTTTCTTGGGGATTATTAAAAAGGAGTTTCCTAGTGAAATTCTGCTTTTGTACATCAGCTATAAGCCACCATTAGAGTTGAATTGAGTAAGAGATCGAGTATGACTTTTTGTAAGTATGTCAAACTTGACCTGGGGCTTCTTTATTTCTCAAGTATTCAACATTATTAGGGTCACACAATTTCATTGTTATTCCAATATGCTCATTCAAAATAAATACATTGCAAAAGTTTGAATTTATGGCAATAAATGAAGAAAAACATTTCATATAAGCAATGCTTCTTACTCAGCATGCATTTTACCCTTTGGATAGAGGTGTATGTGTAACAGACATGCTCTCTCACCATGTTAGTGCAGTCAGCTAGCTATCAGCTACCCAAGAGATGGACATAGAAACTGTGAGGTAAAGATAACATGCACTCTTTAATATTGGTTTATCCCATTTCATTATTGAAAATTGAGCGTGTTATTGCACATCACATGTTTTTCTCAAATAATGCATGCAGGTCTATTTCTTATAACTTCCTGTTCTAAACACATAGCTACAAACATTCCTGAGCATTGCCTATCACTATACCATAATGAAGATGTCAAAACAAGATGTTTTAGTGCCTTCAGTCTAAAATTATCAATATTCATTTTTTCAGAGGAGCAAAAAAGAGCCGTAGATGCTTTTTACCATCCTCTGTGAATTCCCACCAACTCAACATCAAAGCTTAGGTATGCCATGTTTGTCATGTGCTCATACGTCAGTGTAAAGATTCCACTATCAGTCTCTGTTTGCTGACTGTAATCCTTAACACTGGAACTTACCCATAGATAACAGCCTGCATTGTAGTATTGGAAAGTCCATCTATGTCACAGCAGTATATGGAGGGCTCTAGCTGTATTAAGTTTCACTACCATTGTGATTTTCTATTCACTGGTGAAAAGGGTTAGGGTTAGGTAGGTAGAAAACGGTACACAGTACAAAAGTCTGCTCCTTATTATACACTTTTACATCATGGGGATATTTTTAGCTGCTTTTGTCTGTTTTGCTGTGTTTACCATCATCTTTCCTTTCAAGAAACACCTCAATACAGGAACTGCAGGAAAAAAAGTCCAGAAATGTCAATGACGTGTGTTGACTAATTGTGTTACCAATCTGTTTCTTTCTATTTGAAAGAGATTGATTCGTCTTTGAGAAAGATTTAAATGGATTTCTACTCAATGACAAAATTATTTTTCTTTTTTTTCTCATTTTATTCTTAAGGTTCAGACTTTTAGATTGACAGAAAATTGTACTAACAATCCTTAAAATGATCCCGAAGAGGTGCACCGATTGACCGGCTGGTCACAGAAATGAGAACCCAGACAGATTTTAATCCTCTTTGGCCCTGATCAGTGACTGCCTGGTCTTCTCAAATATATATGATTATGTGCCAATCTTAGATTTACACGAGCTGCACAGTTCATGCCATGCTGACAGTGAATAGAAACACAGTGAGGTGCCCATCAGCAGAGCAATGCATTGACTTACTGGAGGATGAACATAACCTTACTTGTGCAAACAAGATGATCACAAGTGTGCACAAGATAATATTCTTTGGTTTTTGGGACATCACTGGCTCTGTAATCGACAGTTCCTGTCCATCAGATAATTTTCCCACTTACCACATATTGTTTATTGGATAAAACATCATCAGGCATTATCAGCGTAATTGCCCTGGTACTTTTTAAAGACTGTCTAAACACTTTGTTTATTATATATGACATAGGTAAATGCGAACCAGAGTAACAACTTTAAAATGATATTCGTCTCATGAACCCCCCCCCCCCCAAAATGTATTCAGATGATCCCTTATTGTGATTAAACACAACACTTATGTTGACTTAGTTTTCTCTATTGTATTTATCCAGAACTGTTTCCATTGGCAATAAGCAATCATTGAAACTTGATCTGCATTAAAACTACTTTTTCTTATCAATTGACAACCCTTAAATCTAGATGTGCTCCAGGTTACTCTTAATCAGCGACATAAAAGTAAAAAATCACCCCAAACAGGGATCTTACGCCCTGCTCTTGTAATTTAACAGACCTAAAGTAGCTGCAACCGGACCTGTAGATCTTTGTGTACATCTTCTCCATTTAAATCTCTGGCCATTGATGTTTATCTTGATTTTTTAAAGTGAAACAGCTTATTGTTTTTATCCCAAACTTTGCAGGACTGTCTGTTGACTTTGTTTCTCTATTTCCAGAGAGACCCAGACTGCTTTAATAACATATTAAATGGTACCTTCTTAGAAACTTTATTAACTGTTCTTTTAAAATGCACTTCTTTTTTGATTGAAAAACAAACTCTGTCCTACTTCAAACTTGCGGAGTCTGGTTTCTGATGCTACATTAAGCAGAACAGTTACATGTTACAGGCCCCGACAGCTGTCTTTTTCCTCCTGGGCAGACTCTTACCAAACATTAACTTAAGACCACAGGCTGGAATGAGGAAAGGAGCTTCCTTTTCCCAGCAGTGCTTCACATCCACATTGCCACCTCTTGTTTACCCCTCTCCAAATTCTCACTTGAGAGCATAAGCATCTCATTGAAGCGTTGTATGCATAACAGTTACTATTTAACTTATTTTGCCCTGGAAATGTCGTGCTTGTCTCATCTTAAGGACACACCAAAGTTTGTCCTTCATGGAAAACTGTCTGCAAACCTCCACTCAGTTTTACACACACGCAGTTATCAGCAGAGATCAATCTAATGATAGAATAACGCTGTCCTTTGTGATTTTATTTGTCACTTGTTCAAAAAATATATATCCAGGGAAACCTTGCAGTGCAACACGTTATGTTGCTGTCATTTTAAGCATGTTGAAGCACTTGTTTAAGCACACACAGGAAAGGATGGGAGTTATTGCAAATACAGTGGAAAAACAGTGTTTTTAAGTAGTTTTATTCAAACAAACCAAAAATACAATAAGAAATTCTACATATGAGTAACAAAATAAAGGTTAACATTATTCAGAAACAAAAAAAAATACAAATTTAAAAACCTTTTAATAATCCATATCTTGGAGCAGAGGAAACAGTCTAATGTTTATAATTATGACAACAGCAATGTGTCTGACGTTCAGATTTAACTCTCCTTAATTTTCCTTCACAGGTTGTCATTTTACAATTCTTAAATTAAATCAAATATAATAATTAAGTAAGTCAATTCAGCACTACATAGATTCATTAAATAATTTGAATTACATTAGATTTTTACATTTTTACATTTACAATAATGCATTTTTTGTTGTTGCTTTGGTGTGTGTCTGCAGGGTTCATTGCAGCTGTGAGAGAAGGGCCCTGCAGTCCCCGAGTCTGTCCAGTTCCTCCACCTCTTCAATCAGCCTCTCCACCTTCTCTGATGGAAGAACCGAACCTGCGTTGTTTCTGAACTTCTTCCTCAGGCTTTCATTGGTCAGAGGGTTGCGCCAGTGACCATAGAAGGTGTCACAACGTCCCTTCAGAACGTCTCCACCAACAAGTGTCACTTGTACTTCGCCATACATGCGGTTAAAGTTAGCTGGGTTGTCTTGGGGATGCACCATGCGAACACGGCTCAGCAAAGCGTGAAGGTCAGGGCGACTGATGGCAGAGGGTGTGAAGGACTCAACAGTCACCTCTCCATCCAGGAGCGCAGTGCAGGCATTGAACTGGAAGGAGTGGCGTGCCTCATGTTCAGAGTCAGGGAAAGGCCTGTTGATGTACTTTGATTTGGGAACTCTGAGCAGGATATCTTGGACCTGAGCTGGAGAAATAGTGCCAGGAACAAACCCAACAAGGAGCTTATGGACTGAGGCTGCAGCATCTGCCACCCAGTGCATCCCCAAATGGGCGGGAAAGCGCTTGAAACCCATGTCCTGCTCCTCTAATAGGAACATTAGGCCATCATTATTGGGGGACTCTAACGACTGCGGCTCATAATCTTCATAAAAGGCGTTGAAGCCAGCAACCCCAGAGACAGCATCCAGGACCAGAGGACTTGCCTCAAGACCTCTAGAGGCCAAAAGAGCAGCCTCCAGCCCTAAACGTGATGCATTACCTATGTGAAGGGGTTTGGACTGAGTGGCAGCATTAGCCATTGGCGCGCCTGATAGAGAAGCGGCTATTGCCAGGGCATGACTGCATTGAAAGGGATCCAAAGATAGGAGGTTTGCGCAGGCAGCTGCACTTCCCATGGTCCCCACCACACTGGGAGGGTGAAACCTGGTGGTTGAAGAAACAGAAAGGCTTTGGTCAGGGTGTTATGGAAAATTTCCCGCTTGTAAATAAATGAGGATATTTCAGCATCAGAAAAACAAGCAAATAACGTGGCAGGTCATTTTACCTGTGATTGCTAATTGCCACATACACCTTTCACAGTCATTGACACCACTAAGCAGCTGCACATTACACTGCAGCAGCCTCCTTTTAAACTTCTGTACACTGCAGAGATCATCAGGGTCAAACATAGGATTCTTTAGACCCTGTGAACTGTGGACACTAGTTCTATTTATAGAATATAAATGTAACTATCCACTGAGGAACTGGTTTTATATCAGTCAAGTTATAACCCGATGAGACCAAATTAAGTGTAAAAAAACCTACAGCAATATTATAAGCCATTTATTACCAATATGGGTGCTCACCTTTTTGGGATGTTGTGGGCCTCATTAGAGAACCTCATCAGTCGGCCCTGGATCTCAATGCCGACGTTGAATGCCAGCAGGAAGTCCAGACCGCTAGGTTTGCTGTTAGCAGGCATCATGTCGCTTAGTGCTAACACAGCAGGAAGGACGGCTCCTGAGGGGTGAGTGGCAGGGTGCCATGTATCATCAAAGTCCATGGAGTGAGTCTGCAGAATAAAAAAAACACATATTTTCAGTGATCAACTTGTAGAGACCAACACATAGTTCATTTGATATATAAAAAAAACTTTCATTTGACTTTTAATAGAATTTCAATGAATCCAGTAAGAACATGCCCTTTCATTAAATAAAACAGGATCTCGCTACACCCATCTAATGTTTTTGTGACATGGAAAATTCCTCTTCCCCTTTTTCTATATACCAGGCTGAAAAAGCAGCTTGCAAAAATGAGTCAAGAAATGTTTGCAGACTTATTGCTGAATATATCTGCGGAAGAGTAATGTGAGGTCAATTCACTATTTTCATCCACGTCTCCTGTGCAGTCAGCTGCCCAGACAGTACCAAAGCTGAGAACAAAATATCTTTATTCATGGGTGTACTGGGGACTATCATGACCAATCTTTTCCACTAAAACAAACTCACCGCCACTCCGTTAACAAAAGCTGCCAGTGTCGGCGAGAGCCTCGTCCCCTGCGTCCATACACAGAGCTGATGTCATCAGGAGCGTACATGTGCTGGAAGGGACCAAGACAGAGACAGGTAAACAACAAGGCCTTGTCAGATGATGGTTTACATGACAGTCACATGTTTTTTTTGTTAATATAAAATATACTTTAATTTAAAAAATCTTTGGAATATCACCTTTTAGTTGAAAAAGACACATATTTTGAGGTTACCAAACAAATTAAAAAAACGTGCCTGTTCCCGAGTAAGGCTCTTTATGATGAAACTTAGAATTAAAATAACTACATTTTTTTCACCTATCTCATCACTCTGCACACAGCTGAGTTACTCATGAGTAAATGTAAGGTCAAGCAATTGCTTTCATCAGTCTAATTGCATCATATCAGATAAGACCTTTCCTTGCGCCTCACCTGGCAGTGCTGCAGGGCCAGCTCAAACACGTCTGTTGTGCTGCCAAGCAGGCCAACTCCAATGCTGTCCAGCACCATCCTTTTGCTGCGGTGGAGAAGCAGAGAGGACAGGTGCTGGGGCTTCACTTCACTGATGAACTTCCCAAAGCTGGCTGTGACTGTTTCCTCTGGGGCTGGACGCTTTAAAACTGCAGGGGGAAAAAGAAAGTAAGGAGTGATTGAAGAAGAAATCTTCAGAGAGAAACATGTCTCCTTTGTTTTAGAAAATGATTGAGTTAAGTTGCAAAGTTTAGTGTACCTTCTGCTGCAGACTGATGCAGACTTCTGAGAGTGAATACTGGTCTGATGGATTTCTGCTGGACAAAAAGTGCAGAATATGTTCAAAACTGTAAAAACACATAGTGTTCTATATCACATTACTACATATTAGTTTTTTTTTATGGAATCACAAATCCACTTCAGGTTTTTAACACACAGTGCTAGACTTGCGTGTTTTTGTCAGTCTCATGTATCATTAATCTACTCTGTACTTCTTTTGAAAGAGCTTTTGTGCTGCTGAGGAGACGCTGTAACAGGTGGTACAGTGTGTGTCATGTGTCGAACATTTGCTAAGACAAGAGAGTGCTTTAATATCCCCCACCATTAACTCACAAAAAACAGAAACTTTATTATAGTTTAAAAAAAAAAAATAGAAATCAAGGCATGACAAGCTATTTACCTGTGTAAAAAAATAGCAAGATGTATGTCCTTGCAAATCATTTAATATTATTTTATTCACATTTTAATTTTAACTAAAAACCAAAAAGTGAAATCTTTACCTGTATTTTGGAGATCATGGCTTCAATCTCTTGTTTCTCCTCTTGTTTCTCTTTCTTCTTGATGCAGCTGGCTTGCAGTCAACAGCTTCTGATGGATGCTGATACTTTTCAGGTGAGAGTGTACCTGCCTTATATAGTCCAGGACTCAAAAAGGCTCCCAAGACTAACCTGGGAGGAACAAGGAACCAGAAATAACCTCAACCAAAAAATGTATCAGCTGAAGTTGAGGAATTTCCATGATGGTTATTGTCTTCATTGTCATAAACTACATCACCATCCTCAGAGGAGGAGGGGGAAAAGGAGCAGTGATGTCACCTCTTAGGTTGAAGGTAAATGGGGAAATGTTATTTCCCAACTCCTCCTACAACATCTACTCAAGCCTTATTTATGTGAAACCTTCAACCCTGCTTTAGAACATCTCAACACTTCACCTGTATGAGCATCTTCACCAGGTAAGACTTTTAGCTTTGATATTAGTTAGCAATAAGACTTTATTACATGTACATTTTGAATTGTTACAGTAAAAATGTATTTTGAACAGTTGTTTTCACATCTTTTGGAGTTGACTCAGTGCATCTTATTATTTTAATGTAGTCATCAAATACTCACTTAGGCTTAAATATTCCTGTCATTACAGCAGCAAAGTTAAAAACAGCCTCCCTTTGTCTCTCTTCTTACGACTGTCATGCAGCTACAGTAGGTCAGCCCACTAATGACTGGGCAGGGCCACAGACTCTCAGCTTACTGTAAATGTTCAGGAAAGAGACAGACAAAAGCCTGAATATATTGAACCTGTAAAGTGTTGAAACAAAACAAAACGTTTCGGAAATAAAAATATCTGTAGTGCACATGTGATATATTACAAACATAGCCTACTAGGTGTTTATATACAACAAGGATTAGGGCCATGTTAAAAAAAATATAATTGTTTTAAATTTCAAGATTAAACTCGTAAATTTACGAGAATAAAGTCGCAAATTTCCGACTTTAATCTCGTAAATGTACAACTTTAATTTCGAAATAAAAAAAAAAAAATTATGTGGCCCCAATCCTCCGTCGTACTTATACATTCAAGACTAAATAAAAAAATAAGAAATTTCACCATTTTATATGTATATGTATATGTGCTTTTTGAGTTACATATAAACCATAAATACACAGCTCAATCAGCAGCGTCGGTTCAGCAGACTCCCCTCTGCGTGACTCATTTGAACGTCTTTTCATTCATACATTCATTTGGGCTTCTTGTAAACCTCGGGTGCGTGGCTCCATCTTCTTCACCATCTTCTACACTCTTATCTTCTTTTGGCGCGGTGGTAATATTTGAATTAATCATAGGCTGCTACCGCTAAAGACACTGAAGTGAATCCTCTTAACACATTATCATAACAGTTGTTTGAGTGATTTGTTTATGTGTTTTAGTGAAACTGAAGTTTGACACAAAAGACACAATGGCAACACCAGATGGTTTCCCAGCCAGTTTCTATGGAGAACCAGGAGTGTTGGGAATGTTGTCCAATGGGATCAGTGCATTCCTCGTACTTCTGCAAAACTTCAATACAGCGCATACAGGCAATGAACCAGTAGGAGTAGAGAACATACTTGCAGGTAAAACTTGTATCCAAAAATCAGCAAAATATGACATATAATAAAAATGTCTTAATGATTTGAATTCCATTTCTGATCCATTAGGTGTTCATCTCATCCTGATTGGTGGCATTTGTCAACTGGTGGCTGGACTGCTCTCCTTTAGAAAATATGACCACTTGAGTGGAACCGCCTTCATTGGCTACGCTGCTCTTTGGGGCAGTTATGGAGCCACCAGAATCTACTTTGGTGCATTTACCAAAACTACAACAATATCATCCATGATGATTAACAATTTGTCCCTGTCCAATGACACAATGTTCAACATGTATTCTAATACCACCACAGAGATCCCTCTTAGCCATTTAAGCCAGTCTATTAAAGAGTCAGCCATTGCGGGTCTGGTCCCATATATCCTCCTTTCATCTGTCCTTGCCTTCTGCTCTGCCACTGTCAACTACATTATGCCTTTTGTTTTTGGTGCCATCACTTTCACCTTGGTTTTTGAAGCAATCAGTCTGGTATCTAGCTCTTGGGCTCTTGTGGTATCTGGTGTTTTGGAGTTGCTCATTTTGCTTTTTGCCATCTATGGTTCAGCTGCACTACTCCTAAAAGGTCTGACTCAACGTCTTATACTCAGAGGCTTCGGAACCCCCCTCTTTAACGTTCTCCTGCTTGGGACCCCTAGTTCAGCAAGTGCAAAGAGCATTGGCCAAGAGATGAAGAAAAACACCAAATATGCCGAGCCCATGGCTTTGGGTTTCTTCTGTGACACTGTTTCCGCATTCATTTTTGCTTTCTACAGCTTCGGTTACATGAAGTCCTTTGGTGTGGGAGCTGCGTGGGTCTCAATCATCTCAGTCGCTCAGCTGTTCTCCAGCTACTACGCTCATCTACGCCAAGACTGCTACCACACCACTAAGTTTGGTCTACATGCCACATACTGGCTGATCAAGGCTTGGGATGAGTTTGTGGTATCTGTTCTGCTTGATGGGGACAGCAAAGTAGTCTCAGGGAGGGAAACGATGGTGGGAAATTGGTTCTTTGTGATGGCAGGTTTGGTGCTTTGCATGGGAAGTCTGACCACAGATGTCTTTGAGCTGATCCACAACATGTTGTTTGTCCTGCTCACAGTCTCGACAATCCCCCAGATCCCCCTCGAGGGATACTATATCTTCTTTGGCGTAGCTTCCTCTTTGTTCACTGCAGCCTCCCTGTATGGTACCTTCTCCCGTCTTATCAACACCATAGCAGAGAAGTCTCTGATCCCTGTAGGACCACAGCCTGTCTCCACTGACCGGTTCAAGAAGGCATTGGGTTGCATCAAAGCCAAGACGAGGGACCTCAATGTTCTCCCCAAAGAAGACCAGGCTTCAGATGCCTTATTTTACATTTTAAATGGGGTTGCAGCTCTATCAGCTCTTCATGCAAGTTCATCGAGAAATAATCCTACTTTTCTCCACCTGACCGTACCCTGGGTCCTCATCTCTGGAGCCATCATGCAAGTCTACGTCAGCCGGCTGCAGGTCACAGGAGGGGGCCGCTTTGGTTCAGTCATCTCATCAATATATGTGGCTGTATGGGCAACCTGGACCTGGTTTAGGTTTGCAGGTATGTTGATACTAATCTTATTAAATTGAGACTTTTACAGACTTAAATACACAAAAATCTGATCAGAGTTTTTCTCCTTTAGGTAACCTGCTTCAGCATTCCCCAGAAACAGCCTATGCATTTACAGCCGGAGCCATCGCTCTGCTGGTCATTAATGCTTTCCTCGTGCTGATTGGTAAGATAGACAACAGCATTATTTTGAACAAAATATTCGATCAATAAGTTTGTAAACTTCTTCAATTCTTCTTTCTTGAGACAGCTGCCTATAGGAACCTGGTTTTGCTGTTTCTAACAGCGGTGATGGAGGTCGTCCTGGTGTGTTTCCTGCTTTCTACACTGCAACGACTACCATATGAGCTAGAGAGTAGGTTTAGACAATGCTCCACATTTTTCATTTATTGAATCTAAACTCTGACTCAATGTAAATAAACATGAGATCTTTACAATTTCAATTTAACATGTACCAAATCTCTTCTTCACAGTGGCCATGCTTGCACTATTTTCAATTATTTGTATATATGGAGCTCTGGCTTCACTGCTGAACTGCATCTTCTCCCAGAGACTGCTGCCTATGGGTCCTCTGCTAATCAAGGTAGCATTTTTAGAGACTTCTCTTGCACTCCTGTCCCAATTCTATATTCATCTGTTATTTCTTTGAATAACTTTCCTCCCTCTGTGCCCTTACTCAGGAGGATGTGAAGCAGGTTTTTTCCGCAGAGCTGCCCTGTCCTGTGGCTAACTCTCGACTCACTAGCGGTCTCTTGAAGATTGCTGGCCTCCTGGAAGAGGGAGGAGTGTGTGGTATTCCAACTGACACTGTGTATGCACTTGCTGCCTCTTGCAAGAATCCTCAAGCTATAGAAAAAATCTACAACATTAAAGTAAGAATAAATAATAATAAAATAATAAACCAGTAGATGATATTATTTAAAAATGTGAAAGGACATCAATCATTAAATCCACTTTCACCATTGTGTTTATGTGATGTGAGAGTCATCAACCTGCTATCCATTAAATGATCCAGGACAGACCAGCAGAGAAGCCCATCTGTATTTGCATCTCTAATGTGGAGCAGCTGGTGGCAGCCAAGCCTCCCTTCAGTCCTCTGCTGTGGCAGTTTATGAGGAATGTTTATCCAGGAGGCATCAGCTGCATCGTCAGTAAAGGAGACTGGCTCTTCAGACTGGGTAAACTGTTCTCAGCTGTATACATGCTGAGATACTTAGTTCAATTAAAGTATTTCATTTTATTTTAAGTATTTATCCATGATCAGTAGTGACCTTTTGATTCCTCTTGTGCAGGAGTTGGACCAGCTTATGACCGAGTAGGCACCCAAGATAGCATCATGATCCGTGTCCCTGATCACACTGTGACTGGTCACCTGTGTGACATCACCGGACCCCTTGCTATTACCTCAGCCAATCCCAGCGGAGAGCCTGACAGCACTCACCACAGCATGGTCATCAGGTGGGTGCCTTTAAAAAAAAAAAAAAAATCCTCTTAACCTTCTACTACACAACACCACAAAACAAATTAGGCAGGAGAGAGGTTTACAAACTGTCACTGTGCAGCAGAATGAACTGACTAAACGTTATTGTGTTTTTGACACATGCATCATTTTACTAATACACCCTCTTTTTTTGGCCACAGTCGACTGGGACACAAGATCCAGGGGATTCTGTGTGATGGAGATTCAAATGAAGTTGTTGCTTCCACTGTGGTCAACTGCCTGAAGATTGATGAAGGTAGAACACCACAATATTTAGAATAAATCTTCTCTTTTTTGTATGTTTTAAAAGGTAAATTGTTACTCAAGCTTGTCATCTTCTTTCCACAGGGACCATCACCATTGTGAGGGAAGGCTGTGTCCCTGCAGTAAAAGTGCGACAGATCTTTGACAGAGTGAAAGCCACTATGCTTTAAAAAACAGCTTTTCCAGCTCCTCCATTTCCTATTAATAATCTCACAGAAGCTCTATGAACAATATGAGAAAGACAGAGTGAAAGGTAGAATGAGATGGTTGTAAATATCCATAACTGTGGATGTCTTCTCAAGTGTAATACAAATTAAACATTTGTTTCTTAGTTGCTTAGCTGTATCATTCAGGCAAAAAAATAAAAATCAACTGTATGAACTTTGATGTTTAGTTTTGTTTATATGAAATAATATTTGAATATCCTCATGGACTGTTATTGCATATACATGTAAAAAACCAAGACATTGTATGCAGACATGAATTTCAGATTATTTCTTCAACCAAAGGATGTACATTTCTCACCCTGTATATGTATTTAAACTGTACATTATCTGTTGAAGAAAATCTAAAATAAAAAATATATTTTTTTACAGATGTTGTGTAACCTTTGTGTCCTTTAAGGGAATCCCAGTTTATAAGTAGAGAAATGCTCTGTCAGTTAAAAACATGCTTTAATATGACCTAACCCTAACTGTAACAGTAAATATAAAAACACTTTAATGAATATAATGCACAGTTTAGGATGTGTGAAGCTGTACTTTATTATAGCTGCTGTTACCTGTGATGAACTGCTCAACAACAACTACATTACTCTCCCAAGGACCAATTCATAATTAAGGTTATGGGGCGACTTTGGCTCAATGGTGGAGTCGGTCCTTTAACAGAAATGTGGTGGTTTGATCCTCAGCTCCTGCATTCACATGACGAAGTGTACTTGGCCAAGACACTAAACCCTAAATTGTTCCTGTTGCTATGTCAGCAGCATATGAATGTGTATGAATAGAGTTAATACTGAGGGACACTTTACAGCAACCTCTGACATCAGAGTGTGAATGGGTAAGTGTGACGAGTGGTATAAAAAGCCCTTTGAGTAGTCAGAAGACTAGAAAAGCGCTTTACAATCTCATGCACATTTACCATTTCACTCAAGACACTTAACAAAAAGTGTAGGTCTAGACTGTATGTGTTACATTACTTACAAAGACCCAACATTAAGCCACCATGAGCCATATTTAGAGAGTGTACAGTAGATACCGCAATGCAGGGCAGCATTCTGGCAGCGTAGTTCCAGAGGGGTTAAACAGCACTACAGTATATACTATAAAAGTACCATAAAAGTTAACATGATCTCTTTGTGTTCGCAGATGTACTATGCTGACCTCAATCATCTTTTGCCCTCAATAAATGATAAAGCTTTATTCCTTATAATGTGAATCAACAGTCAGGTATGCGTTACAATCCTGGGAGAGGTTAGAATCTTGATGTTTTGATGTGGGTGTGAATAACAGAAATTCTCAAAATAGTAAGTCTTTCAAAAAGGAAGCTTGGGGCGCTGGTTGCTCAGTGGTTAGTGGGCGCTCAATGTATGGAGGCTATGGTCTTCCAAGTGGGCGGCCCAGGTTCAAATCCAGTGGCTCCATGTCATTACCCACTCTCTCTCTCCTTGATTTCCAGCTCTATCCACTGTCCTATCTCTCTATTAAAGGCACAAAAAGCCCAAAAATAAATGTTTAAAAAAGAAGCTGAATTTTCAGGAAAATATGTTGGATTCAGGATCACAGTGCTAAAGATAATATTGTATAATTCTCTTGCACCCTCTGGATGCAGACATGTGCAAACTTGGTGGGTGGTTTGCAAACAAAGCTAAGAAGCTTAATCCCCAGGAATTTATTTACACGGAAACAATCTGTATGTCCCTTTGAAAAGCCTTAAGAAATATATGCTTAAAAAAAATACTTTTTTTAAATTTAAGGCTAAAACTCAATATCTTTCTTCCAGCATAGCAGAAAATGTTTCAACTTTATGATGGAGCACAATATTCAGAAATGTCTAATAACTTTTTGTAATCCCAGTGTTATTTATTTTACACAAACAAAACTTCAAACGTGTAATTTAGATATTTTCCCTCAAAAATCACTGTATAAGTATTTGAAAGATGATGATAGGTTTATGTGTATTGACAAGTATCCTTACGGTATATTAAGTAAACCAAGAAAGAACAATAAACATATTGTGTGATACGTAGATGACCAGTATCACAACATAGGCCACTCTCAAGCTCAGCACTTTGAACGAAATGCTAACGAAACCGTGCTGGGTACATGCTAACAATGAAAACCTGCCAACTTATTTTTAATTGTTAGCATGCTAAATTTTTTCAGTTAGCATGTTATTACTTTTCTAGGTATTAGTTTTAAAGGCAGGTGGAGGTCCAACCAACAGACTCACATTTAAATCCAAATAGAGTCCACATTTCAGAGCAAATGAAGATGCTGATGATAAATACAGATAGAAATAAATTCAGCAGAGAAGGCTAAGGGTAGCAATAAGAGAGAAAACAGAGATGAAACACATTTTTTGAATTTGGAACAATTGACGTTTAAAAGAACCTGTTAACTGTCAGCCCAGAAAACCTTTCAAAAAGGCTCCTAGAGTTTGGCTGTATCTTTAGACTTGTTTCTGGTAAGATATTATTTAATGTGATTACAAAATGATTTCTCCTTGGCTTTGAGTTTTATTTATAGTAACAGGAAGAAAGATAAAGTGGAAGTGGCAGGAAGTGTTTTCAGAAAGACAATACATCAAAAGCAAATACTGTCATAGAGTCATGAAACAACTGAAAGGTATTTGAAAAAACTGAAGATGTGATTCATTCTGGTAACGCATTCTCAGTCACATAACTGTTGATTATCTAATACAGTTACAGAGAGCCATTTGTTTTCTACATGTGTGTACGAGTGACCCTAAGCCTCACTCCATCTCTAATTTGAGTCAGTTAAAGTAATACAAATTGAATTTCCACTCAAATCTCATCAATGAGCATATTTCTGTCCATCTTATAGTCAGCCTCTGAGCAGCACAGACAGAACTCTTTACCTTCAATCTCACCTGAGCTAAGTGTTCCTCATCTTGAAAATCAGGCTATGGAGCCATTATGAAACCAATCAATTATCTTTCCAGTCCTTTACTTTTCACCTTATCTGCATGATGAATACTTATTGATCACAATAACTATTATGCTGATCGCAATTGAAGCTCAACAGTCACTCTCCTGTGACAGAGAAGTCCTCGGATACTTTGTTGGATGATCATACACGTGGTTTGTAAAAACAGATTTTAGTGTGTCCATGAAGAGAGGACCAGTCAGCAGTTCAGTCTAAACTTAATCGGATTGAACATCATTACGGGTTTTCATTAAGACAAGCGTGATTATTTATATGACATGTACAAGTGAGGGTGGTTTTGAACAAGATAGAAAATAAGAATTATGAATGAAACTGATCAACCTTTAAATGGGCCTTTCTAGAGGCATTCAATTGTTGATAAATTACTTATAAAGAAAACCAAACAGCATGAACATGCATTTTTTTGTTGTGCAATATACATTAAAGAGCATTTAGGAATTACTCAGTCTGTACAACATCATTAACGTCATCATTTTGGTTATAATGTTCATCATGCCCTCAATCAATGAGTGACTTAACCTATGTTCAATGATTTATTTATACAACAGGTCACTGTGGCAATTCTAAAAAATATTCACATTAGAGGCCATGTAAAAGATGTAGCAAGAAAAGGTTGAACAGTCACACAATGGAGCAGGAAGTATTTTCAGAAGAAATAAAAAATCCTTAAACAAAAGCATTTACTGTCTTAGACTCAGGAAACAACAATGACTTCATTTAAGCTATCAATGAAAGGCATTTGAAAAAGTGATACATGACCCGATACTGAATGTATTTATTCTGGCATCACGTTCTCATCTAATACAGATTTGCAGAGATGCACCTGTTCTCTATGTGTGTGAGTTACCCTAACCCACGCTCCATCATTCAATTGTTCCCGTTGCTATGTCAGCAGCATATGAATGTGTATGAATAGAGTTAATACTGAGGGACACTTTACAGCAACCTCTGACATCAGAGTGTGAATGGCTAAGTGTGACGAGTGGTATAAAAAGCCCTTTGAGTAGTCAGAAGACTAGAAAAGCGCTTTACAATCTCATGTACATTTACCATTTCACTCAAGACACTTAACAAAAAGTGTAGGTCTAGACTGTATGTGTTACATTACTTACAAAGACCCAACATTAAGCCACCATGAGCCATATTTAGAGAGTGTACAGTAGATACCACAATGCAGGGCAGCATTCTGGCAGCGTAGTTCCAGAGGGGTTAAACAGCACTACAGTATATACTATAAAAGTACCATAAAAGTTAACATGATCTCTTTGTGTTCGCAGATGTACTATGCTGACCTCAATCATCTTTTGCCCTCAATAAATGATAAAGCTTTATTCCTTATAATGTGAATCAACAGTCAGGTATGCGTTACAATCCTGGGAGAGGTTAGAATCTTGATGTTTTGATGTGGGTGTGAATAACAGAAATTCTCAAAATAGTAAGTCTTTCAAAAAGGAAGCTTGGGGCGCTGGTTGCTCAGTGGTTAGTGTGCGCTCAATGTATGGAGGCTATGGTCTTCCAAGTGGGCGGCCCAGGTTCAAATCCAGTGGCTCCATGTCATTACCCACTCTCTCTCTCCTTGATTTCCAGCTCTATCCACTGTCCTATCTCTCTATTAAAGGCACAAAAAGCCCAAAAATAAATGTTTAAAAAAGAAGCTTAATTTTCAGGAAAATATGTTGGATTCAGGATCACAGTGCTAAAGATAATATTGTATAATTCTCTTGCACCCTCTGGATGCAGACATGTGCAAACTTGGTGGGTGGTTTGCAAACAAAGCTAAGAAGCTTAATCCCCGGGAATTTATTTACACGGAAACAATCTATATGTCCCTTTGAAAAGCCTTAAGAAATATATGCTTAAAAAAAATACTTTTTTTAAATTTAAGGCTAAAACTCAATATCTTTCTTCCAGCATAGCAGAAAATGTTTCAACTTTATGATGGAGCACAATATTCAGAAATGTCTAATAACTTTTTGTAATCCCAGTGTTATTTATTTTACACAAACAAAACTTCAAACGTGTAATTTAGATATTTTCCCTCAAAAATCACTGTATAAGTATTTGAAAGATGATGATAGGTTTATGTGTATTGACAAGTATCCTTACGGTATATTAAGTAAACCAAGAAAGAACAATAAACATATTGTGTGATACGTAGATGACCAGTATCACAACATAGGCCACTCTCAAGCTCAGCACTTTGAACGAAATGCTAACGAAACCGTGCTGGGTACATGCTAACAATGAAAACCTGCCAACTTATTTTTAATTGTTAGCATGCTAAATTTTTTCAGTTAGCATGTTATTACTTTTCTAGGTATTAGTTTTAAAGGCAGGTGGAGGTCCAACCAACAGACTCACATTTAAAT